CCAACGCTCAGTCACTCACTATGGCATGCGGTATGCCTACCATAATTAATCGTGTACTAGGCCTACATAAAAGAAAATAAAAATTCGTTCGGACAACTTTTGCTCTTTTAAAAACTTGGGATGATTTGGGTTTTCCAAAACGTGGCAAAAGATAATAGGCCTATACCTCAACCCAATCCAATCCAGTCTTCGACTTATAAGGCGCATTATACCAAGTCACAATGCGCCAATTTGAGGGAGTGCTCAGAAGAAACAAACAAGAAGCGGAAGGAACGAATGTAGAAAAAGTATACAAGAGGGAAAAGTAGGAAACAGAAAAGAAAGAACAGAAGAAAAAGACAGAAGGAAAAACTAAATGGAGCGGAAAGGTGATTTTAAAGTCTCATTTTGAAAATATCCACAGATGGAAATTCACGAACAGATTGTGGCAAATCATTCCAAGTCTAGGATAGGAGCAGCAATTGAGTAAGCTCTATCACCGAATGTCTTCGTGCGACTAGAGGGAACAGTAAGAGTGGATGCAGAGGCAGTTAATGTCAGACTGCCTAAACATGTGGAAGAGCGCTAAGTTGAAAGTTTGGCAAAATAAAGAAGAGATAGGTAGTTGAGTGATTTGAAGGGCGGTTTGGCGCAGCGATTTCCATTCAGGTTATGAAACTGTTGTCGAGGGTTGAACTACACGCTGACCATTCTCGGCCGACCATGCTTAGTTACCCCAGCTTGCGCTGTTGACAGGTTGTGAAGTGGCTCGCTATGTTTCATACCTAGGTGCCAGTATTTCATGGCTTATAAATTACCGGTAAATAAATACAAATATTGTGTGGCCGCCTCTCATCAACCTTGATGGTAACATCAGGCCTAATTAACTAAGATATACAAAATAAATAAATAAGTAAAATATAAAAAAAAAATAAATAAAAATAGCAGCAATTTGGAGGTGATATGATATTAAATATTAAATTTAAATTTTAGAAACACCTGAAGTAGCTGTAGCTATTAAACAAGTAGTATGTTTTTAGTGATAGTTATTAATATAGTTGGGGAATGCGGTTTAGTGCAGAAGTTTTTTTCATGTTTTTACGAAAACCCTTACTGTTCCTTAAAAGGACTAAAAATATTAATAATAGACCAACCCTAAATAACTTTGAACTTGATTGACAGCAGAAGTAAATCGGTGTTGTACAAAGGTTTGCCATATAAATAGTTAGTTTGGGCTGAAGAGACTTGGTACGTCATGGCACACAGGTTATTGTTAATGCAATTTAATATGTATTGTATTCAACAAGAATGAAGTTCGTGGAAAAAAAATAATGACGTTAATCTCCTGCATATTTCTAGATCGATAAACTATATTTTGCTTTTGTATCCATTAAAAAAAACAAAACTATTTCGTCAATTTATTCAGTCACGCACATCTATATTTACAGCAAGCCATGATATATCCTTTGGTAAATACGTGTTAATGAAAGGCCAGTGGGCACCTACATAAAAAAAGTGATGTATGCCGTCGAGACCTGTAAGTGCACAGATTTAAAGTACTTCGACTCCAATTGAACATAGAATCCAACAATTCAAGGTTGGATTTAATCGTTTGAAAACATGTCGTTTGAAAATTGCTACAATTTTCTTAAAATTTTGCCCCAATAATTCTTTGCTATACGAATCAAGTCGCACAGCATGACTAAATGGGAACTTGTCTTTTTTAATGGTGTGGAATGCAGCATAGAGTCACATTTTAGTATGCTTCAAACAAAATGGCTTAAAATATACCTCTGGTTCTTAAATATTTTTAAGGGCCAAATTATTGTTGATCTCACGTGTCAAAAGGTACAGTATTTGGTGAAACTCTGGCTGGTAAGAAAAGCATTAATTGATTTTTTTTCTTTTGAATTTTCAAATTATAGGCCTACATTTCATTGTACTGCACCAACGATCGAAAACTATTTTTGAACAATTTGTTGGCATATCATCATTACGATTTCAGGCCGTACAGTATTTGCCACCCATGTTCTGTTCCTGTTCCTGTTTTTTTTTTTTTGGTTTTAGCCAATTGTACTTAATTTTACATTGTTAATAAAAAGTTGGTGTGCCAAACAGCAATGCTCATAAAAATACAAAGGACATAAAAATTACATAGAATATGTTTTCTATATGACGAATTATGTTTTCTATATGACGAATTGAGTCGAGCTCTCCCACGTAAGTGTATAAGGTGTTGGTTTTATAGAGTAGTTTATTATCGATTTATTGTGACATCTTCATTTCTGTTGGTAATTCCAAGTTCTGATAGACACATAAATGCTCCCACCTCCACAAAAAAAAGTTTGCTTTGTTAATCTACTTCACCCAGTTTACCCATTGTTTTTTTTTTCTATTGTTAATACGTTGTTTTTTTTTTGCTACTATTGTTATGTAGCTATACCATTGGCTAATTTGTGTATCTTCAATCCAATTGGTTTATCATAAGCCACTTCATGAGCTTCTGTTATGTATTTAATTCTATCTTACCATGTTTTTTTACTTCATAGCTTGATAAAGAGTTATAGTCGAAAGTACTCGCTAGATTATATTCACGTTCTTTATCTACATTTTTATATACATGTATCCATTAAATTCTAAAAAAAATAAATAAATAAATACAATAAATAAACACTAACGAAAGGTCTGTAAGTATAAATATAATTAATAAAGGCTGTGCCAGGGACACTCTTATGTTAAACTTGTTTGATATTCTATGACGAGACCCAACAATAAAATGCATTGAGCTGCATCCATTCAACACTATCAGAATTGGCCTTAAGGATCATTTAATAATGACGATAACCATTATATAAACAGGTGCAACCTGTAAGTAATTTGTATTTCGTATTGGTTGATAGTAATCCGAAAGGTCCACTAATTAATTTTAGATAAGAAATGGTGGCCATCGTGTCGGGATTCAATATTTCGACATTGTCATCATCATTCCTGATGATGACATAATGTCAAAATATTGAATCCCGACACGATGCGTGCATTTCGATACTTGGAGTATGTATTATACTATCTTAGTTGATAGTAATCGTCACAACAATGATATTTTTATCAATAATAATATTAATATGATAATATTAATAATATTAAAAATAATAATAACAACATTAATATAATAATAATAATAATATTAATTCAAATTCAAAAATACTTTCATATCCAACAGGAAATTCATTTGGCCATGGCATAACAACAAATATAAAACAGAGTACAAAGGCCTATAAATAGATATATGAATATAAAATAGTAAAAAAGTAAAAACATGAAAAACAAAAAGGCCTATAAAGAATAAACATTTGTTTAAAAAGAACGATTATTCTTATAATTTCAATTTTTTCATTTCATTATTTTTTATTAGTATTACTTATTATTATTATTATTATTATTATTATTATTATTATTATTATTATTATTATCATTATTATTTTATTATTTTATCTTTGTAACCATAATTATTTTCATTTTTATTTTACACTTATCTAGTAATGGTTTCATTAAACACTCAGATTGTGGTTGGAATAAAAAATTTTCTGCAACGCTCTGAACTAGGCTTAAGAGTAATCTGGAACTTATTGGGCTAGCTCGAAAACTGCGAAACAAAGTATGAGTTTCATCCTTAAGGATATTTTGAACTTTGGTAACGATAAAATATTAATGTATTACGTCAAGTGATGAAACTTGTTGACCAATAATCTTACTTGCTTGTCTAGTAATTCTAAAGAACAGTTTTTTGTCACTGCTGAAAGAATTGATGAAACACACCATGCAGAAAGTCGGAATACTTTGCACAATAAATTTATAAAATAAAGAAATAATACAATAATCAAATTAAAACGCATGTAGTCTCCTCAGGAAAAACATTCTTTTTCTTAGTTTTCCACATACATATTCAGCTTGTTCAACTGGTTGTCTAAAGACAACACCTAGATATTTGTGATTATCGACCCTTTAATAATAACATTAATAATGGTAGGAGTGTGTGGCGTAGTGTGTATGTTGTTGGATTTCTGGTCGTGAGATCAGAGTTCGAGACCGACACTCGCCGCACTGCTCGTGTCCTTGGGCAAGGCACTTTACTTATGTTTGCCTCTCCTCACCCAGGAGTATAAATGGGAGGGTCATGCTGTTAACCTGCTCAGTGGTGACCCTGCTACGACTGTTCCAGTCAAATTAATAACAGCAACTAGATATAAATTGATACGAGGAGAAAAGAAAAAATAATAATAATATTAATCCTCAGCACAGCTGGTCACTCACTGCATCTCAACGGATCCAACTTTGTTCCCTGTGAGCGCTAGACAACACAACACCGCCAGCTGATGGTCACCTGGCTGTCTGAACGAATCATCATTAAAAACGATCAGTTGCATGTGCGTTGAGTTCTGCATTGAATCACGTCGGCCGACGAAACTCGGATGCAGTGAGTGTTCAGCTTAAGTTTACTTTCATTGTGCTTCATCGATCAAACAGTTCTACAGTAATATTGTCATTCTACAGTATTGGACGCACATATCCCTGTCTCTTATACACATCTAGATGTGTATAAGAGACAGATCTTAGATAAGAAATGGTGGCCATCGTGTCGGGATTCAATATTTCGACATTGTCATCATCATTCCTGATGATGACATAATGTCAAAATATTGAATCCCGACACGATGCGTGCATTTCGATACTTGGAGTATGTATTATACTATCTTAGTTGATAGTAATCGTCACAACAATGATTTTAAAGGCCAACTCAGACAGCGTCGGCCGACGCTGTCTGAGTTGGCCTTTCGTTGTTGGATTTCTAGTCGTGAGATCGGGAGTTCGAGACCGACGCTCGCCGCACTGCTTGTGTTCTTGGGCAAGACACTTTACTTACGTTTGCCTCTCCTCACCCAGGAGTATAAATGGGAGGGTCATGCTGTTAACCTGCTCAGTGGTGACCCTGCTAGGACTGTTCCAATCAAATTAATAACAGCAACTAGATATAAATTGATACGAGGAGAAAAGAAAAAATAATAATATTAATCATCAGCACAGCTGGTCACTCACTGCATCTCAACGGATCCAACTTTGTTCCCTGTGAGCGCTAGACAACACGACACCGCCAGCTGATGGTCACCTGGCTGTCTGAACGAATCATCATTAAAAACGATCAGTTGCATGTGCGTTGAGTTCTGCATTGAATCACGTCGGCCGACGAAACTCGGATGCAGTGAGTGTTCAGCTTAAGTTTACTTTCATTGTGCTTCATCGATCAAACAGTTCTACAGTAATATTGTCATTCTACAGTATTGGACGCACATATCCTTCTCAGAGAGCTGCTCGCTGTGCCATTTCCACTTGCAGAAATACACGGAATCTTTCTGCATTCCTAATTTTGACAGTCGAAATTCTTTAAGAAATTGTTTACTAAAGCTATTTTCAGAGTCCACCTGCTTACAGTGGAACAAAAGATAATCTGTATTGCCCAATCCAGGATAGTGTTCAGGAAGTTCCAACAGGCATAGCCAAATGACCTAGAAGTCTTGAAATGGGCAAGACTCACGCTCACCAGGGTTCACTTAGATCAGTGGGGAATTTATATAACATCCTATTTAAAGCAAATTAACAACCTCTTGGTTTATGATTAAGTGAAATAACAAACATTAGGAAATAGCTTAGAGCTGGATAAACTATTGACAGCAACAGTTATTTTTGAATAAGCAATAAACAGAATGAGTCTCGTGCCATTCAGTGGATGTCACTTTGAGATTTTGATAAACAGAAACAGTTTTGAATTGTAATCAAAAGTATTAGTGCAAGATTACAATTTCATTTTTCTAATTACACTACAATTACAAATTACATTTTTGAACCCAAGTACAAATTCCGCCCAATTATATTAAAACATGTAATGATTACTACTGACTACAAATTACGATTACCCCATGCCTAATTCAGTGTCCAACAGTGTCCAAGGTCTTGGATGAGAGGGCCATAAAAGTGGTTGACAAGTCAATTAAGCACCACCGTAATTGGAGCAAATAATTATTTAGAGTAGGCACACTCTCGTATAGTAAAAGTGCTTCATTTAATGTAGTGTTCCCCAACGAAATGATTAGTTTCTTCCCCCAGTAAGCAGTCCTCTTCCACTGGAGCACCTGCATGCTCCTGTTAATGGACCGTGGAATGCATGCGGCATAGGAGTAAGAAGTTCTTCTTCCAATTATAAGATTAAGTACTAAGATCACTTGTTTGCCTCCTTAGGAAAGGCTTTTTATCTACAGCGTTTCTCTTTCCATCTGGAGTACAGTACAGTATAAGTGGGTACCAGGTAGATTCAAATTCCAATGTGCTGATAAATCGTTGCAACAGTATGGCATACCAACACGCTATTTCATGATGTGTGACCAAATTACCGGAGTAAAGGTGTGAGTTTTTTGGCATATTATCAATTTTATTACATTTGTAATATCATCAGGTTGTTTGCGAAGACTCAACAACTTAAATCATCATTATTATCGCCTTGTTCCTTAAATTGTCGAAACGTTTAATCCATATCCGTCGCAGTGTATAAGCTCATGTAAAATCAGACCAAGTTTTATTGTACTTTAATGCCGCAGAGAAGTAAAGAAATCTTCAAATTGTGTTTAAATTCCTTGCTCTCATGTCGCTGTTGCACTTGAATAATGAGTCTTACAATATACTGCAAAAGAAATATACAAGAAAAAAAATGTGTTATAAATGTAAGCCCAACATTTACTCAACTATTTATTTCAACAATATTTTGTAAGGGTGGTCAACGTCAAACCTGAGCTGATACATTGGAACACTCAGAAATTGAAAATAAGATTTCTAACTTAACTATTATTTGCTTATATTAATTAGTGTATTATTGGGTAATAATTGGGTATCTGGTATGATATTATGACATGGAAGGAAGGAAGCCCTCTGGTTTGCAGTGGTAGTGCTTGGGATAGGATTGCATTACAACCAAACCCTAAGATTAGGCCCTCTTGCAGTTCTTAACTCTTTGGTATTACATAGTTTTGCATGTTGTCCTGACATAATTCACATTTGTGTGAGTAGGCTTTTATAATCCACTACTTTACCTATGAAATCAGACACCGGATCTTTGCCATCTTCACTCCGTAAAGTCCCAGTTATGTCATTGTTTTCGATGATTGGAAGAAACAGCTGCACAAACTCAGATGTGTACGGGGGCGCTATCATATCAAGAACCTAGAAATATACAATACCTAAATTTCATATAGTAAAATCAGATGTGTTTGATTCCACGTATGTCTCACAAATAAATAAAAGCAGACACAAAAGTAAAACAATTGCATACGATGACATTATAAACATAAATTTTATATCATACAAATATTTTGGACACACTTGTGTCCATCCTCAGCACTAGTTGCATGATTGAGAAATTTTATATAGAGATAATGAAAGTATACTAGAAATTGCAAATTGCAAGTGAAGTGCTGCGAAGTACAACTGCATATAAATGTTCTTCGAACAAAATTATTTATGCGAGTCAAGTGAAAATGATGAATAATAAAACTATAACAAATAATATGAGACACGACCCATTGTCTATATTAGAACACTTCTCATTGGGTAACAAAGTCATAATTTTTCATTTTTGTCAAAAAGTGTCTATATGGTGTGGTGAATTATGGTTTAGGTTTTTTTTAATAAAGTATGTATGTGGAAAATGTAGTTGATTACCAAAGGTTACAATTTTTATTTTGAAGACTGCATGGTCTAGGAAGTGTACATTTTTTTAGAGGATCAAATCCAAGTCTACTTACCTGGATAAACTGATAAATGCAAAAGTTTCCTTTGGAAATTACCTCTCGAGGATCAAATCCAAGTCTACTTACCTGGATAAACTGATAAATGCAAAAGTTTCCTTTGGAAATTTCCTCTCGAGGATCAAATCTGAGTCTACTTACCTGGATAAACTGATAAATGCAAAAGTTTCCTTTGGAAATTACCTCTCGAGGATCAAATCTGAGTCTACTTACCTGGATAATAATAATAATAATAATAATAATAATAATAAGATTTATAAAGCGCACAAATCCACTGCAGTAGTACTCAAGGCGCTCCAGGAAGGAACAAAAAATTACCATGAACCTAAAGCTACAAGAAAAGAAACCACCGCACCGTTTACAGGCAATTTAAGGCACAGGGGCCCGCCTATTCATTACTCACAGGTGCTCAAGTAATGGGAGTATCTAAACTGTAATGTAATGTAAGTGATGGGAGTGGATAAACTGATAAAACGAAAACAAAACCCAATGACACGTGCGCAACAGATTGTTTTTAATGGTGAGGCACTCAGACTGCCACCGATAATCAGCAGACGGCGTTGGATTTGTCAGCCTAAAGTTGTACGACGATTGCCTGGCTTAAGGGTTGCTATCAATCTTTACCCGCCTCATGCATATTGGTTCATAAAATGGCAACCACTGGGTTAATATTTATAGTTAAAGTATCAAATCGATCAATTAAAGCTTGGAAATGGTCTTGGATCCTAGATTTCTTGGATTTTGAATTGGGGATTTGGCAACACAAACTTTTATTTCGGCCAAATGAAGTTTCAGAAGCTCATGGAGATATTGAGAGAAGAGTAATAATTGAAAGAATCAATTATAGATTAAAATAGTACCTGCACAAGAACATCAAGTTGAGGGTAGTGGTCCTCTAGAAGCCGTATTAGCAGCTTCAATGCAATGTCGTGAATGAGGTTGTGCATATTAATAATTTCATCCAAAAGGATTAGATGCAGTGGGGTGTGATCGGTCATGCGTTCAAAGTAGCTGGGTTCTGAGATGGTCTTGTCCACCCAGTATAAGATGCCCATGGAAACCACAGGGTACCTGAAAACAGATAGATTGAATTTTTGTAATGTACTTTAGTCTCACTGTACTCGAGGCGTGGACTAGCTCATACAATAACTTTCTCCTCCCCTAAGGATTTCTTAGTACCTCAGCGACCCAATCAACCAGTGCTAGCTACTTTCGTCTGTCCACAACAATGGCTGTATGGACCAGTACACTGGGGTAGCCTCCTACTCATCTGAAAAAAAGCTTTAAAAAACCCACTTGTTCAACACTGGTGGTGCTGTTAGAGCTGTGGCCACAGCTAGTCATTCAAGTCTCCAGAATTTCCTATAGTAAAATTTTTATGTTTTGTTTTCTGCTGTTTTGGATTTTATATACATTTTTATGCCTTTCAAATTCTGTAAACATTTTTTCACAAATCAGATTTTTCTAGTAAATTTTGTTGTGATTTTCGATGTATGTATAAAGATACCTTGATTTAGATAAAATTCACTAGTTACAACAAAACCAAATGAAAGATCAACAACAGCAAAGCAGCAAAAACTAAGTTTTCAAAATTTACCTAATGCACTGGTAGATGGTGGTGAGATCTGCAATAAGTTCTGAGGCTGGCTTATCACTGCTGCATATCATGTGGATCTTATCTATAGCTTGTGATGTCTGCTTCAACTCATCTTTACTGATATTAATACGTTTACCCTGTAAGAAACACACACAAATCATCCAAAGTAGACAGAGTGGTTCCCTTCATATCGTAATGTACTGTAAATTTAATTCAAGTGCTGATAGTTTTCTTAGGTTTTATTAGAACAATTTACAAGGTTGTAGGAAGTGGAGAATGAAGATGGCAGAGGAAAAGAGGGTGGCAGGAGAAAGGAAGTGCAAGAAGGAAGTGAGAGAGAGCAAGAAAGAAGATGGTGAAAGTAAAGAGAAGGGAGTTGACAGAAGGAAGTTGATGAGGTATACATTATGCGAAGCATATCTTTTCTAACTAGAGCAGTCACTCTAGAGAGTATATCTCCGTTCTGTGCCTGAATACCAACAATATGCAGGCTGTACACAGAACTGCAGCATATATTTTATACTCGAGGGTAAATAATTGAATTTCTGTAATCTTGACATTGCCCATTGATCCATTCCTCCAAAAATTAAATGCTGTCTTTCTTGGATTACTATGTACCATTCCACTAAATTTCATGATGATCCATTCAACAGAAAGACAGCACAAGACAGCAGTGATTACATAACCTCCTTGGCGGAAACAATAATGAAATTATATTAGGTCCCAACAAGATGCACTTCACAATTACACCATTATGTTATGAGTAAGCAGGCATTGTATTTTTGGAAGGCTTAAAACTTTCTATACCCAGTGATACTGATAGTCCCTATCAATTACCTTTTTCCATGTCTCATGGACACAAGCTGAATGGGCAAGTAAGTAGATGTACTTGGGTCGGTGGTCTGCGTTAATGTTAGCCTTTGGTCGAAACAATGTATGCATGAATAACTCCAGTAGTTGGGGCATTCGAAGCAGGTCGACTGGTGGGGGATCTTCTTTATTGTACATCTCATACAGCTATGTTACAAAGTATACAATTTTAATAACAATTAAAAGGTACTCTATACTCTCTACTTATGCTCTGGTAATCTGTGAAGATTTGGTCAGTTATTTTTCAGGCAAAAGGACAATATATTGGAAAAGAAAAACATGTCACCTGTTTAAAAGTGAATAAAAACAAAAAATATTATTTGTACTGTCTGTTTGTTTGTTTTTGCTTGAGAACTCACCACAGTCACATCTGCTGGGTTGAGGGCATTTCTTGCCAACATGGATGCCAGTGCTTGGCACGCTCTTGGATACTTGGCTGCACCACTTAAAGCAACCCCAATTTGAACTACTCCATCACCCCGACTGAAAAATATCAGAGAATTGTACTTGATAACTATTATCTGTCATAACACAGAATTGGTTACATGTATATTATCATCCATATTTCTTATATCTTAGATCAATTCAAAGCCATATCCAAAATTGCCAATGGGGGTACAAAAATGAACCAAGATGATGGAGGCTAGAGTTGGTTGGATAACAATGTATGGGTTTAGAAGGCGTTATAATCAATTTCTATTTTTTATCTCTTCAAAGCTAAACAATTCTTCATTACTTTGGCAACTTCAATGCATGAATACTGGACTAATGATAGGTTACTGAAAAAATGTAAACATTAAAGATTTTTCTTTTTCAAAAATCCTTATTACAGAAAATAAAAAAAATAATATTCAATATATTTTCGACTGTTTTCGACTACAATTTAATTACCTTTTCATGGCACTTTTCTGTACCTCTTGACAAACCCTCCTTATAACCGACCCTCCACTTTCAGACGACAGTAGATGCATCATTGCTTGTGCGTACAGGTAAGTATGCTCACCGTGACAAACCATTTTCTGCCACATAACAAAAATATAATCTTAGTAATAATAATTATAACCTTTTGTTCAAAATGAGGATGGCCATCCAAAAACCAAAGTAATTTTACTAAATGTTTAACTGAGAATGTGAATACATTACAAAGTCAATTTTTTTGTTATGGTCACCGACGCTGGTTTTGGCATCATGTCAAGCCCCAAATATGAATACTATGCTCAACAGACCCCACAAAGTCGCACGACAAGTCATACAGGTATCATGAAAATGGCAGTTTACACATTGAATTGTCTGATAAATGCAAGGACATACACCAAATTCAGGGAGATGTATATGAAGAGCTTCTTCACCGCCTTCAAGGAGTTTCCCAATCGACGTCTGCAGAACCTTGGAAAACACCTCGATCTGATGACAGGCTGTCGACACGTTCCCAATTTCCCCCTGATAGCCCAAATCAGTAATAAGCTGGGGGGAAAAATGTTTGAAAATAATACATTAAAGCGGTAAATATTAACAATTGACAAGGATGTGCTCAATTATATTCTATACGGATTCAATATACTTTGCCGAATGTATAATGACAGAAACTATGTACCTTAATTGTAAAATTCAACATAAGGCAGTCAGGGTGCTCGCCAGCAAGCTTGTAGAAAAGCTGACGCCATGTTCTGTGCTGGATCATGCCTTCCAACCAAGAGGGAGTCTGTCAACAGAATAACAACTTATTACTACATTACAAGGAAATAAACCTGGTTAAATATTAATAATATTTGTATTTTTCAGGGCTGTGGGTGCCGACATAGTAATATACCTCTGTGAGGTATCCCATATTAGTAACACCCTCTGGCTAAATAAGCATGTGTCTGATCAACTAATAATAATCTACCTAATCCCACACTTACTCAGAACAAACCTTCTAGCAAAGCAGCACTCCCTGGATATGCAATGTGCTCCAACCTCAGAATATGCAATGTACAATATTCATGTTTACTTTTTTCATATTTTAGGGGCAGCTGACTCTTTTGAGTTTTGCTTTACTTTTGCTTGACCATCGTTTTGTTGTTTTTGTGCTTTTTAATGCTTATATGGTCAAATAAATACATGAAATGAAATATTGTTGCTAAGATCCCACAAAATGACAGTGTAAATGTATACAGTACACACATGTGTTTGTGGGACCACACATGTTTGTGGGGCAAGTGAATACTGTTCTCATTGGTCAGTGTTTAAGATTTTATAAGTTTTGATACGGAACAAGTTACAATAGGCGCTGTGAACATTTTTTTATCCAGTCACTAAATTACTCACCCCTCCCTCATCGCTGAAAATCTTGTCAGCTTTTTTGGGGTCAAAATGTTTGATGATCAGACTCTTAAGGTGGTCTTCCACCATCTGCTGCACCTCGGTTGGGTTCACACCTGTTGTGATGAGCCACTCGGCGAAGAGGTTCACTGTCTGAGCCACGGCTGTGTAGTGCTCCGACAGCAGCAAAACCACCTGCTCTGGTGTACCTCCTGCTTGGAAATACCTGAACATGGTAAAAATAGACTGAAAACAGAATTACTTTACACTTCAATCTATAAGCATGGCCTCCCCACCATTAATTTGAAATATGTATAATCTGAGATTGAAAACCCTCGCCCTGTTGCGCAATTTTACGCACTGAAAAAATAATGGCCTGCGGTCGATCCGCTCCATCCGCCAAATAAGACCTAACCTCATAGGCCTTGCGTGGCAAACCCATCAATCGGGTGAATTTGTACACCCTCCGGACTGCTTTCAGTCCGCCAGTCAGAATTAGACAAACTGTTCATCTGCTCAAGTTAGTTTTTTTAGTTATGCACCCAGGACACACACACTGACACGTGATATTATGCAATACCATTCACCTCTCTGAAGGAGAGGGGAGGGTAAAAACACCATGGATATTCTTCTGACATGCCATAGTGTATAGCAAAATTGAAGCTTAAGGTCAAGACAGCTCCACCACCAATGAACATCAAGGATTTAAATAATGTTAGTCGGAATAATAATCACGGTTTATAAAAAAAAAACCTTAAAAATTCGAGAGCAATGCTTAGTGAAAATTAAGATCAAGTTTGTATGCCATACCGACGGAGATTTTCAAACACCCCTGGTTCCATTATATAATCAGTCGCTGCGAAGACAGACAGACATTCGCTACGAATAGTCTCATCATCTTTCTCAACTTCAGACTCATATGGCCCTTCCTCTTCCGGTTCATCTTCAAATCCATAGAGTGCTTTGTCCTGTACTTGATCGCCGTTATCGTAGGCGCTGTGTGAATCATAGGGATCATCGCCAAAGTTACTGGTGTCTCCATAAGCACCATCTCCATAAGCTTCTTCCCCGTAATTTCCACCTCCATATGGCTTGTAGGTAGACTCATCCTAAAATTAGACAATATTATTAGTTAGGCAGTAGGTCACCTATTTGTAGGCCTTTATTCCAAAATTAATTTGGACAGAGCTTACTCCTCCTTCAATCATCATCCAGCATAACTTGAGAATTGGTACCATCCAAACTTTTAAAAACTTTTTTCTTATAAAAATATAAAGTAAAATGTTAATAAACTCAATAAATTATATTTGGACTAGGCCCAGCCAGGCCTACAGTATGTCCTGGCTACTGTAGCCTAGCCTACCTGGTACTAACTACTAGGCCTACTTCTTCTAGTAGTAGCCTTCTTACCCCCAAACCACAGAACAATAGGCTACTGTAACTACTATAGTCTATACTATGCCTAACTAAGCCTCCTAAAGCTAGCCAGGAGTGTTGGTTAGCCTACAGTATATACGCCTACTCGACGGTAGGCTAGGTGGCTAACTAACTTTAGGCCCAGACCCTAAGCTAGAGGTAACCTAGCTAGGACTCAGAGGGCAGGCGTGTCTACAGTCTAGTAGGCCTGGATAGGCTTAGGCCTAGCCTAGCCTAGGTTTAAAAATTTAGTTTGAATACAAGATTGTTAAACAAACCGTATTATATGGTTCGAATTGGTCGTCCATTTTTATTAACCTGATCCGCCAATATATACTTTAAAATGCATAAATACTTCAATATGAAATGAAAACAACAACGATAGTTTTTCTGAAGGGCGCAGACATTTTGCAGAAGAGGCGTATGGGAAATCTCAGAATGACCAATGACAAGGGGTTTACTAGCTACCTAGTTATATAAAATCTATTTTGATTGGCTGTTCAGTAGCGCGTTGCCTGTACGTTGTCGTTGGAGGCGGTATGAAAAGAAAAGCCGGTGTATATTTGAGGTCGTGAAACATAGTGAATCGGAGGTTGTTGCATTTAATATCGGCGAAATCGTAAAGAATCCAAGCTGCAGTCATGGTAATAATGTGATTATTTATTTGTTTAAATATTATAACTTATTTAAATGTATGCATTTGTGTATTTTTGTTAAGCAATGTAGAGTAACTTCGATTGCATCATAGGCCTGTGTGGCAACAAAAGTACCGCTAAGTCACTATAACAACTCCCTGCGCTATGATAGTACAGTTTGAGGTATCTTAGCCTGGGCCTGATTGAAACTAGGATCCTAATTAAATTGTGGAGGCAATCGGGGGCCTAGGTAGGCCCCTAGCTAGATAAATTAGAAAAAATAAGTAGGCCTCCCTAGGCTAGGCCTACTACAGTACGTACAGGCCTACTACGACATTCCAGACCAGAGCAGTAGGGTTGGCTAGGCCTAGCTAGTTACTCGACTCTATTTCTTGTAATGCATGTCTTAGCTAGGCCTAGTCTAACTAGCTAAATCTGATGCCGTCTGTATGTTGTTATGGCTAAAATGTACGGTACTACTTCTACTACTACTAGGCCTACTATCTCCTATAATTTAATACGCCGTGGCTAGAGATACGGTACCGTATTTCTACTTCAATTTGCTAAAGGTACGATAAATGGCATTACGTCACCATCACTCAATGAAGTGCCAGAATGTGCGTGACGTCATTTTTCAAGACTGGCATTGCATTGCAGATCTCCCGCGATGAGCGGTGAAACGAGAACAATGTACAGTTCTGGGAAACTAGAACATCAAAAAGTACAATATTGTTTGACTTAGTACTGTTATCGATAAATAGGCTTATGGTTCCATTTAGTAAAGAGTTTTATTTAGCTAGGCCTATGTATAACTATTATCAAACAAGGACTGATTCCACCAAACTCTTGGCATGCCTCTAGGCCTTGCTTAAATTCTTCGCTTGGCGAAAAATCTAAGCAAGCCTGCTCGGCCTTGCTTGGATTCTGCTTTTCACGGCAGCTGCTCTGGTGACATTGATCTAAGTGGCATACAGTAGGCCTATATTCCTCCGTCATCATACCGTCTGAACTTCATAATTCCTACATCCCACGTTTTAGTCCAAGAAGTTCGAAATAATACCACGCTTTACAATCCCAACAAAATATTCATACAATTTGAATGCACAAAACTTTTTGTAGGGCTATACTTCCGTCACTGTTATGGTACAGAATCTAGGCCTAGATCGAGAGAATAAGTTTCCCCTTTGTGATTATTACAATTGAGTCAAATTTTTCCAATGATTTTGATGCAGACCTTAATACTGTCATAGAAAAATAGGCGTACCACTCAATAATAAAGTCATGTCATATATATAGCCTTATCAAGCAAGGCATCATCCTCAGGACTTAAGCCAAGGCACATGTATACACACACTACTGCTAGTCTTTGGTAATCTATTTATATGACAACACTTGCAATAAAAAAATGATTATACAACTGTAAACAAGAGAATTCATACAGGCCTACTTTTACTATAAAGTGGAACCATACGCTTATTTAAGGATGACAGTAAAGTCAAACAATATTGTACTTTTGATGTTCTAATTTCCCAGCACTGTACAATGATCGTTCTCCTTCCACCACTCATTGCGGGGTGATATGCAATGCCAGTCTTCAAAAAACTAACTTATAGCACCACCAACAGCCTTAAAAACAAATTCCTAATTTTGATTGGATATTATTATTTTTTAATAATGGTTTTGTATGCTTAGTATGGCTGTGGATCCATGATTGTTCCGTAACAAGTTTTAAGATTGTAGCAATGTAAGCTTAAATTCATATCCAATGGCCAATTTAAGCAACGCCCGAAATTTGATGAATCTGATTATTACAAGACAAATTACTGTACTTTTATCTCACTTATAATTGAGAATGTTGCATTTTAAGCTTGAGTACTTTAAACTATATTTTGTTTATTTTATCAACAGGTGCAGGGAAAGAGTAACAAGATGATTCAGCACATCAATTACAGGATGAGAGTGGTACTGCAAGATGGCCGCATCTTCATAGGAACTTTTCTAGCATTTGACAAGCACATGAATGTTATCCTCGGTGACTGCGAGGAATTCAGGAAAGTTAGAGCCAAGGCAAAGAGCTCTGACAGAGAAGAGAAGAGAGTGCTTGGCCTTGTTTTGCTCAGGGGTGAACACTTGGTATCAATGACAGTCGAAGGCCCACCTGTCAAGGATAAAGGACCACGTGTGCCAGTTCCAGGTGGTGGTAGAGGACCAGGCATGGGGAGGGCAGCAGGAAGAGGTGTTCCTACACATCCACATCATTCTGCCGCACCAGCTGGTCTTTCAGGACCTGTCAGGGGAGTCGGTGGACCTTCACAGAGCATGATGGCCCCACAGAGAGCTCCAGGTAGTTTAGTTTATCTATTTATTTATTTTATATTATTAATTATTTAGGTGCATTGTGTGTCAAACCAACCAATTTTCTAGCAATAATCATCTGTGTATACAATAAACTCTATAGAGTGCATACCTCTGCCCTGTGCCTGAATACCGAACAATGTATCGTATGATATGGGCGATTCTATAATTTTCTTTTATTCTTAAGGTAAAAAAAAATCCAATTTCCGTGACCCTCACTTTGTAGTTTTCCTAAAATTTAATCATCTTTTTCTTAGATTATTATGAACTATTTAACTGAATTTTATGATGTACGATTCATAGTTTTTTCTTATTGAATACCTGACCTTTTTTGGTGTAGGTACAGTAATACAAATAATGATGCACAGCAGCACAATCTACAGTACAGATTATCCTTGGTAATCACATATTATTGTAGTTTATGAATTGTCAACTACAATAATTCTTTTCATATTATCTTCTTAGGACCACCAGGATTTGCAGCAAGGCCACCGATGAGGCCACCAATGGGAGCGCCTGGAATGATGCCGGGTAGAATGCCACCACCAGTTGGACGAGGAATGCCACCAATGGGAATGAGACCCCCAATGCGTGCACCACCTCCACAAAGGAGATAATGGACATTGTAACATTGATGATTTTAAATGAACTTTGCAGAGAGTGACAAAGCTGCAAGATTGTAACACTCCAAAATCTCAGCTGTGTTTGACAGGAACAAAGAACTGGGTCATGTTACAATTGGGTTACTCCACTTTACAGTAGTAACTCTTGCGAGATGGCGATCAGCAACGTGATAGAAAAAGACACCTTTCGTATGGAAATCTAACTTGCTGAAGTAATAAGAAAGTACAAACACTATGCAGCTAGAGAGTTTGTCCTAGTGTTGAAGATTCTAACTCGTTGTCTATTTTGTGAATACTTAACCTAGATAAACTGCTTATCCGGGCAAGTATCGCACTACCAATACCACAATTGATTTGTGTATTTTAGTTGATAAATTGTGAGGGTGGTATGTGTTTACTTTATAACTTGAAATGTTAATATACTGTAAAGTTTTAGATGTAATTCTCGTGAACTTTTAACGGATTTATAATTTTTTGTCATCATCTATTACAATTCAAAATTTGTCTGTTTCGTTTTAGTTCTGTAACTGGGCTGGGTTTGCAAGGGCACCTTGGGTTTGTTCTGTACGACCTATCGATATTAAGTTCACCACAAAACTTCAAGTACTACGGACTTTGTTTACAGACTTCGTTTCTGTGTATGTTATGTTGACATAATTTGATTTTTTTTATAGTATGCAAAGGAAAGATGGTGAGAAAGTTGACAATAAACAATTTGTAAGATATCCAAGACTGATTGGTTTAATTTACTACTTCTAAAAACAGGAAATTCGTACTATACTACAATTATCATTGATCATATACAGTATTCAAGAAAATGCACATAATACTGTATACTCATAGAGTATTTTACTTATTTATTTTGCTTTTAAAACAAATAATATATAAGGCAGCAAACGCTGAATGGTTTGTGTATACAATTAAATTATACAATTAAAAGTTTAATTCAACATCAATCGTGTAAAGCTGAAAATGGTCCTTGTACGCTGATGCAGCCCGAGCATGATGGAAGCATAACATTATTGAAAATATTGATCATGAATTTATGAATGCCGTTAGTGAAAACAATGTTGATAATGCAGTCTCTTGTGTATGTCAAATGTTTGAATATGTATGTAAAGGAATTAAATATACACGGGAGGTAAACCCTCAACACATATACAAAGAAACGGATGACTTGATAAATAGTGCATGAAAAGAATTACAGAAATTTAAATGCATGCACACACAAAATTCGTTAGATACCGTACATATATAAAAATAAAAAAGCAATACAAAACGTTACTAAAGAAAAAAAAATACGACTTTCAAAATCTTAAACGTCACAAGATTATTAACGCACTAGATACAAATAATAAAACTTTCTGGATGAAATTGAAACAAAAAAAGGAAAAGTTGATCGGTCAAATTTCTATTCACCAATGCTACGAACACTTCAAGAATCGTTTTCATCATACAGAGCCTAATAATGAGCTGAATGAGTTTCCACCTATTCCCGTACACGTTAATAATAATAATGACACGTTAAACGAAAACATTACACTAGATGAAATTTAAAGAGCATTTGAGACTCAGAAAACCGGTAAGGCTCCGGGGATTGACGGTATAAATTTTTATTGAACGCACCTACTTTTATCCTTGATATTTTGAAAACTCTTTTTAATGCTATATTTAACCTAGGTAACTCCCCTAAACAATGGGCTACAAGCCTAATTGTTCCGGTTTTTAAGAAAGGGGAAAACAATACAGAAAATTACAGAGGCATCTCCTTAATTCTAATATTAGGCAAAATATTCTAACAAATTCTCAACACAAGATTAGCAAAATTTTCAGAAGATGATAATATTTTGTTTTAGGAACAAGCAGGTTTTCGAAAAAGGTATCGAACATCTGATAATGTATTTATTTTGGATACTATTATTTTTAGATACTTAAATGAAAAACGCGGTAGGATTTTTGCATGTTTTGTCGACCTTAAACGCGCCTCTGATTTCATAAATCATGTATTACTGATTTATAAATTAAGACAGATTGACGTGGCTGGTAGAATGTTAACCATTATAAATTCGTTATACCAAAATTTAACAGCTCATGTAAAAATTGACAACAAACTGAGTACCTCATTTGATTGTTTGATTGGAGTACAACAAGGTTTCCCGCTTTCATCT